CATGTAATGGTGGTATCGGCCTATCAAACACAAATTATTTGAAGATACTCAAATTTGAGCCCATATGTAGCTAGAAACTCATGGTTCAAGACAAGTCTAGGGCATTGGAGTAGCGAACTAGGCATCGACGATGGTATATCCTTGTGATTAAGAAAACAAAATCCAAAACAAGTGATCGTAAGTTCATATAATGTATCCAACGTAATCATGTGGAAAAAGATAACGATCTTATGAGAGTGATAGTCGATAATGTACATGTCAAGAACCAGTTGATCTAATAACTCGAGTGGTTAGGATCCTATCCTACATGCTAACAGACTCCCTCAAACGAAAATCTTTTATATGGAACTCTAAAACAAGTGATTCGTACGTTACATATAATGATTCCAACGTAACCACATGAAAAAAGATAATGATCTTATGAGAGTGATAGTTGATGATGTCAATGTCAAGAATCAATTGGTCCCAATAACACAAATTATTGATAGAGATTCAATAATGCACACCCTCTCAAACAAAAGTCACTCATGTTGTTTGAAGTTTGCACTTATATGAAATACCATGTGATTAATTAACAAGTGAATCGTTGAAATTTGAACACAAGACCTCTCAATTATAGATAACTCCAATATTATATCAACAACCATATAAAAAAATTCAATAATAAATGTTATACGAGTTACTAACACTACAAATCTTATCAGTAATCATTTGGTAAAGGCACAGAAAAAGGATCGGTTAGAAAGCTCCGTGAGCCTGCAAAATATGACATGGGAAATAATAACTTGCGCAGCCTCAACCAACAGTCACGTTTGCAAGAAACAATTGTTTAAATCTCTGAGGTCAACAGCTGTAATCCACGATTTATGCTTAATTCTCGTATAAAATAATGGCGATTAATTATTTGTTAAATGTAATGGGACCTATATTATATAAACGTACCCATCTTCACATGCAAACAGTGTCACTATAGTATTGGTACAAAAGGGAAGTGTCATTATCCAGCAACTTGTTATTATTTCTATCCTCAATACTGGACAACCGAATTGAAAAACATTAAGGTTCGTAATTTATATTTTTTCACACAACCAATTAATTAATTGTATGAAGGTTTATGAAACTCCGAGACAAAAAATCAAAAACAAAAACATGACGAAAATTGAGGATCTTTCGTGCCAAATGAACAATCCAAATCCAACTTACAAACTGAAGAACACACTAAATAGAACCGAAGTATGAGATCGGGATGAAGACAATCCGACCTAATTAAGTAATGATTGCAAATTTATATCACATCATAATTATCATAAGAAGTAGTAGATAGGAAATTCAGTAAATTATAATGAGCTGGAGTCCATATTCCTAAATTTATATTAGATTCTATAGTTTCGGATATGTCCAAGGGGAGCATTTACCTAATACATAAATTAAAGAAAATTAGACCTACTTCTTTTTAATTAGTTTAAAAATATTCGAAACCTATTGTAGCTACAATACTACATCACCAAACTTCACAAGCAAATTAAAGGGTAATTGAGTGTGTATACATATAATTAATATATTTTTCCATAAACTATCGATATATATATTTCCTTCTTGGTGCCAAATGTCACTATTTTGTGACCGGATTTTGATTTAGCAATGCTAACCGACCATTTAAACAATTTCAGATTTTTTTTTTTTTGTGACAAATGAAATTGATTTTTATTATGTGACCCGATGAAACTCTAAAATTAAGCGTTGAAGCTGTTGTTTGTCAACGATAGGAGAGAGCATATAAATAATTATGATACATAAAACAATATTATGATCAGCTGTTATCGATAGCCACCATCATTAATCATCAACACAAAAAAGCATCTGCATTCATGCATTTTGATTCTTTGAGCAACGAAACGTTTTTATTCTTCGTAGAAAACATGTATTATTATATAATGAAGGGGGAGAAAGGAGAAAGCACATTAATTAGTCGAGCAATAATGTAATTCATAATAATTTCCCGGCCAAAAACCTACGTGTAACTCGAAGTGTTCATTGGTTGGTCGGTTTATCATACGTAGTCGTGCAGGCCGATGGACACGTCATCAACAATGATTTGACATACATTTATCCTTATTACATGCACAGCGGTTTTCACCTTGGTTAATATATAAGGGTCAACTTTTTGGTTCAAGGTTAGTAATTAATATTGTAATCATATAATTACGGCGCTGTAAATTCTTGGAGTTGAATGATATATGTGATGACTTTCATTAGATGTCGTCTGTTTTATAATTTATATACTATATATATATGGACTTTGGTATGTACATCCTATCTAGCTACCCCATAATGCATGTCTATAGTGGGCAAATCTACAACACCATCCGACATTATCGGGTAGCTAGTATTAGAACACGAGACCTTTTGATAAAAAATATTCCGATATCGTATTATCAAGAATTAGTTGGTATTAACAATTTTGAATAGTCGAGAGCTACTGAGAGATATTCGAGATATAATATTGAATCTTATACAATCTCCTTACACATTCAACTCCCCCGACCAGCTTCCTTTCTGTAGGAATGTCACGGTTCATATGACGAGAGTCATGACGCTTATGAACTGTGTGATAGTGTTTTTATTGTATAAAAATGTGGTATAAGAAAGTAGTATAAGATTCATACAATTCATATATATATGTATATATAGTATGATGGGAATGTGGAAATTTCAACAAATAATTGGCTTAGGGACATATATATGAAAATCATATAAAATCCATACAATTTATACATGAGCTATTTTAACCACTCAAATTATTATAACTACCAATTTTCCAATATATACATGCTGATGAGATGAAGTGTACTGAAACCAAGCAAAACTGGCCAGCCGGCCAAGATTCTAAGTTTTCTTCACCGTGAAAACATAGGGCCGAACCGAACAGCTTTCGTCAATCCTTTCTTCTTCTCCTTCTCGTCCGTATGTGTTGGAAAGGGACACTCAGTAGTACGTAGCAAGCCAAAACAAACGGAATTGGGCACAAACTGTCCAAAGACCACGACGACGATTATTAGTGGAGGCTACAGGAAGAAATTTCCGGCAGAGCATCAACCAAATTGGAAAATTCCAAAAGCACAAGACGAGAAGGAAGTAAATCAGAAGCTGTTTAATTTAGGGTGTAGGAGTTGACGAGTTGTCATATAATGCGATAACTCGTTAAAAGATGAGTTCATTCCAAAAGCATTAATACTAACTTATCGGTTTGAAGTTTACATAGATTTGACGTATCACTTGGTTAATTAACATACTACGTTAACCTTAGAGGCATGCTACGATAGATCGCCGTCTTCTTCTTTACTTTCTGCAATCATTTGATTTATAAAAAAAAAATGCGCAAGAGGATAATAGATAGGGATGAATTTTTTTTATTTTGCTAATAGAAAAATGAATATTTCTAATACCTTTCCTTTAAATTATATACCCAAATGGGGACCTACCCCGACCGCGACCCCGTTATAAATTACCTTACCTGTAACAGACCTACCATAGGATGAGTATGGGTATCGAGATACCTGTGCGGACATTCCCCACTATCATTCATATACATCAACCTGATGTCTTACTTCGCGATGACAATTTGATCCCGGCCCGCTGGATATATCACCCGATCTGACCGCGATGGCAGGCCGGGGTATGGGTATCTACTTCCAACCCACCCTGTCGGCCATTGTTGACTCATTTTATCTCAATTTCTTACAATATCTATACATATTTATCTTTTTGTGACTTTTTTCAAGTAGTTAGACTTGATCTTTCAACTTATATATTAGACTCAATTACCCATTCTATTATCACTATTTTTCATTTATAAAGTATTTTTCTTTTGTTTTATCGTAGAAATTAAAATTTTGCATGTATTTTTTCAAATAATATGTAATAGTGGGTCGATTTGCCCCACCGCGTACCCACACAAATATTATCCATCCCGACCCACACCTAGTGCGAGACAAAAATGAATATTAAAGTATCCGCCCGCCCGCTCGTTTGCCATCGATAATCTTACCAACCTGAAACCGTTATTAAACATGTGAAATAACTTAGCCATTATAACTACAGTGCAAGGCTGCTCATTCACGGGTTTACATGACTATGCATTCGTGATCACTCATTATTAAAGTAAAAAATGTTATATGAATCATAGCTTCGTTTTAACACTCATCATACCCAAAAAGTTGTCCAAACTAGGTCTCCATCTTCAAATCTTATATATGAAAAAGTCTCCCAATATAGATATATTCCTTTTCTCTTCGTTTTGGGTCTCTCTTGACTCCTGAATATTTGTCAACGGTTTCGCCAATTAAGAAAAAAGTCAGTCGTTTGGGAGATGAGATTCAATAATAGAAAACCAGATCCGGTTTCCCAAAATCCTCCATAGCTATACTCTACTTCACCAATTCCCTCCCCCTATAAATACAACCACCTCTTTAATTCTTCCTCTCCACATTATTCCTCATTCATTCCCTTCCTCCCATTCTTTCTTCATTTTATTCTCCTTCCTATCTCTACAATGGCTCCGGCAATGGCGATTCAGAGTATTGTCGACGAGCAGGAGACGGAATATCAGAAGGGAGTGAAGCAATTGTACGAGAAAGGGATTAAAAAACTGCCCAGAAAGTACATATTGCCTTCTCATGAACGACCCAATATCACTAGCAATAATGGTCACCAACACCAATATCAAGCACCAAAGGATTTCGCGACGAAAAATGGTGGCATCAAGCAGAATATCCAGCTTCCGGTCATCGATTTCGCCGAGCTCCAAGGTCCCAATCGTGCCCAGGTCCTCAAATCCCTCGCCAATGCCTGCGAGAATTATGGGTTCTTCCAGGTAAGCTTCAAAAAAGCAAGAAACTCTATAGATGTTTTTAGCGACCAATCGTCAAAAACATATTTAGCGACCATTAAGTGGTCGCTATAGGGTGTTTCGTTAATAAAAAACATCGACAAAAATGTTTTCCGTGTTAAATGAGCCAAAACCATCGCCGACCACAGAGTTTTTAGCGACGGGAATAACGATTGAAACTCTTTTACTGCTAAAACATATCCTTGATGGACACAAATTTCTTCTCCAGGTGGTGAATCACAACATTGGCGACGGAGTTATCAGCGACATGATCGACGTCGGGACGAGGTTCTTCGGGCTTCCGTTCGAGGAGAGGTCCAAGTACATGTCGGCGAACATGAAGGCGCCGGTCCGGTACGGGACGAGCTTCAACCAGAACAAAGACAATGTGTTCTGCTGGCGAGACTTCCTCAAGCTCATGTGCCAGCCTCTGCCGGATGTGCTTCCTCATTGGCCTTCTTCCCCACAAGATTTTAGGTAAGCAATGTTTAATGGATATACTTAACAACCAGCTATATCGATGAGTCAGATTATTGCATATCAAGTAATTTTTAGTGATGATAAATAGTTATAAGATTAATAATCGAACTATTTGCAACAATTATTCGGACTTGTGCAAACTTTAAACCCAATATATTAATTGCCTTTCATTTGAGGGGACGTGGTAGTGAATGATATAAGATACATAATTGAGTATATTACAAAAATTTGAATTATTGAGACCAACTGGTCTAGACACATTGGCTAGCACATGTTCATCAAGCCCTATCCTTATTCACAACCCTTCAAGCACGAAAAATCGATATGTTATCATAAGTTATCTTAATTGCAGCTCATCGAGAGTCGAATCCTTCCAGTTTAATACAAATCAGGTCACGTTAAGTTACATAATACGCATGAGTCAATTATTATCTACTACATAACTAGCTAGCTAGCTAGACCCCATCAGCTTTCCAAAAATAATTAATTCCAACTTGCTCTTCATGTAATATAGTATACCTAACCATGTATTAGCTTGATAAGAATAACAATTAATGAACAATCTATAACTTTTGTTGTTGGCGGAAACAGGAAATCGGCGGCTACCTACGCGAAAGACACCAAACACTTGTTCGTCATGCTGATGGAAGCCATCCTCGAGAGCCTCTCCCCGGCGCCTGAAACGGCTGCGTTTCCAACCGCCGACGGCGAGGTCGTAGATGAGATGGAGAAGGAATTAATGGAAGGAGGGAGCCAGCTAATGGTGGTGAACTGCTACCCGCCCTGCCCGGAGCCCGACCTTACTCTGGGAATGCCGCCGCATTCCGATTACGGGTTCCTGACCCTTCTCCTCCAAGACGACGTCGCAGGGCTCCAGATTCAGCACAACGACAAATGGGTCACCGTCGATCCCATCCCCAACGCCTTCGTCGTCAACGTCGGCGATCATCTTGAGGTAATTATACGGCCCCTCAATTTTGATGGTTAACTCAAACTAGTCCCTATATAGTTAGCAATTTTCAAGATCGAAATCTTCGTGAATACTTTTCGTCGAAATTCTCTGATTGAGTTTCACTGTTATGATTTTTTTTCCAGATTTTTAGCAACGGGAGATACAAAAGCGTGTTGCACAGAGTCCTGACGAATCAATCGAGAAATCGTATCTCCGTCGCATCTCTGCACAGTCTGCCATTCGAGTACACCGTTAGACCGTGGCCGAAACTGATCAGCGAACAGAACCCACAGCGTTACAGAGACACGGATTTCGCCACGTTCCTTCAATACATCTCATCGTGCGAGCCCAAGAGAAAGAACTTCTTAGAATCCAGAAAAATATGCTGACAAAACAGCAAAAAAAATTAAATTAATGAAATTATACTACAGCCATAAGTTGACTTTTTGTTAGAGTACGTACGTAGCTTCAAATTTTTCATGTGTAGCCATCATGATTTGTTCTTACTATTAAATTTCTCCCTAACTATGTATTAAAAGAATATGTAGGGTTGGGGACAGCGGTGTATTAAAAAAAAATACCAATATTCATTGAATTAAATGAAAGGAGGAAAAAAGTATAATTGGGAGCATATTATTGCCATTATATTGTCCTGTCGCATTTTGGTTTGTTGATTTGTCAATTTCTAACTTAATTTTGTAATAAGGTACTTGTTGAGTTTTCACAGTCACAATCCAAACATATGTTTTGAGGAAATTGACAAATGTGTTAGGTAATTTGCCAGCCTTTTTAGCATTTGGAATAGTTTGTCTTTTTTATACATATGTGATGAAGTTGATTCAAAAATTAAAATCGATCTATTTAAATAAGAGATATTATGCGTTTGATTGAGTCGTAACTCGTAAATGATTAATTTATTAGATTGTTGATCTCAACTACTTTAGAGATAAGGGATTGGCCAACATTATATTACCATGCTAATATTTTATGATAAATATATATTATTCTAGGTAAATGACAAAGTTATTAGGTTAGTTATTTTGTATATGTATGTAACTATAAAATGAATCATTCTCCTCATATGAAAACGATGTTTCCATGCTAATATTATATAACTAACATTTGATTTTATCAATTTTTAATATCATTTCAAAAATTAGAGGTTTTTGTTAATTTATTTGAAATTTGACTCTGTTTATATTCAACGCAATTATTATGAAATAAGAAACAACAAGCACAAGTATAGATATGACTTATGAGTAAACAGATAAATTGTACCGCACGCTTGGGCTGGGCTCTCTGAACAAGTTTCAAGTTGAGCCCAATACTGGCCCCGAAACTACATGTCCGATCTACTTGCCCACTTTAATTTAAGGGAGGGAAAGCCAGTATTAGGAGCCCATGGAGTTAAGTATACTATAATATTTTAGTTATGAGAATGAAGCTATTTTACAATGGTACACTTAACACTACTATTATACTAAAAAGGGTAAACACAATATATTATCCATAACTATTAAGTAGCGGGGAATTATAGCCCCAACTATCGAAATACAAATTATTAGCCATAACTATTGTTGTGGGTCAAGATTTGGCTAACAGCCCGTTACTGTTTTCAAATTTTTAACGTAGAAGGCCATGTCAGCATCGTAAAAAATATGATATGATGACTGCCACGTGGGAGCCAGCTCACCATCGTAAAAGCTTAGTCATCATTACTAACAGAAGTGTTAACAAAAACTTAACGATTGGCTAATAATTTGTATTTCGATAATTGTGGCTATAATTCCCCGATGCTTAATAGTTATGGATAATATATTGTATTTGCCCTACTAAAAATTATAGAAGAAATGGAAAATGAGCACAGTTTGTACTCTGTAGAGACTCGAACTGACAATTTTGAAATTATGCACTTAAACTAGAAATTCGTTGATATACTTATCTATACCTTTTCTGTATAGTGTAAAAATTTAGTACAATTTACAGCAGGGGAGGATTGAACAGTATACAGAACTATGCACTTAAAAACATCATTTAACTCTTTTAAATGACTGTAAATACAAAAAGCCAATCTTATGTTTCTCCGGCAAGCAGAGGACCGCCGCCGGTGCAATACCCCCGGCGCTTCCCCAACCAAACCGAAAGGATCCAGTAGAGGAACCCACTCAAGAAGAAACTGAAAAACCAAGCATTGTTGTAAATCCCCACAAACACTCCCGGAGCTCCCGGGAAAATCCCAACTTTCTGCAAGAACCCCGGTACCACGGGCAGGATCCCGACGACCAGAGCTGCCATTGCCGCCAAATTGTACCCTCCGGTGTAGAAATACTCGCCGGAGGGGCTCGACGTGTACAGATCACTCACGTTCAGTTTCATCCGGCGAATGAGGTAATAGTCGGACAGCAGAATCCCTCCGATTGGACCCATCAACGCCGAGTACCCGACCAGCCACGTGTACACGAAGCTCTCGCTCGATTTCAGGAGCCGCCATGGCTGGAACAGGATTCCCAACAGAGCAGTCAGCAGGGCTCCCCTCCTGAAGGCAGAGGATTCGGGTCAAAATCGGTGAAACAAATCGTTCAAAGTTTGACATCAAATTCGTTTACTCGATACAATCAAATTTGATTTATCACACGATACATTGTCACAAATAGCTAGTTAACATCAACACGTAAAACACAATCAGAACATAATTTCCAACCTTCCATCCAAGGCAGATCAGTAGTATAAAGTTGACCTCAATTTTTTTGCAGCACCATTTTTACTATCCACAGACTAGTAACTAACTGCGTAAAAAGTATTTAATCGAAGGCAGGATAATTTTTATTACCTGAAGGTAAATGTGGAGGGGCTCAAGTTGACTAGGGCATTCGCCGGAGCCACGACGTTGGCAGCAATGTTGGTCGTGATAGTAGCCAAGCTGATTCCAATTATAGCCAAAACCATGGTCCATATCCCACCAATTTGCTCCAGAAGTTCAATTGGGTTCGAAATCACTCTCCCATATATCACCTTGGTTGACGAAGTAACCGCCAATCCAACAAAAGTAAACAACCCCATGAAAATGGGAAGACCCAATTGACCAGTAACTTGATCGGTCCGACTCTTAGCAAACCGGGTGAAATCCGGGATGTTAAGAGCCAAAGTGGCCCAAAAACTAATGTTGGCGGTCAGAGAAGGGAAGAACAGAGCCCAAAATTGCGGACCGGTCAGCTTCGAGGACATCGACAACATATGGCCCAACCCTCCCGCCTGGACGTAGGCCCAGACGAAGAGGGCCGAGGTGAGGAGGATCAGAACCGGGGCGGAGTACTTCTCCAGCTGGCGGATCCCGTCCATACCCCTCAACGCTATAATCAACTGAGCTACCCAGAACGCTATGAAACACACGAACTCCAGCGGGCTGGTCCCGAGCCAGGGCCAGGCTCTGGACCAGGACGACCGCTTGATGGCGTGGGGCAGGAGGATGAAGATCGCCTCCCCGCCAATCCACGTCTCGATCCCGTACCACCCGCACCCGACCAGGGCGCGGAGCAGGGTCGGGACGTGGGCGCCCCGAACCCCGAACGAGGACCGGGCCAGAACCGGGAACGAGATCCCGTACCGGGTTCCCGGGTCACCCGTGAGAATCAACGGGAAAAGGAGGATCACGTTGGCTAGGACAACCGTGGCGATCCCCTGCCACCATGCCATCCCCAAGTCGACCAGGCTTCCGGCCAGATAGTAGGTTGGGACGCCGACCACCAGGCCGACCCAGAGACTGGCCATCTCCCACCCGGTGAAGGTTCGTTGGCCCGGTTCGGTCGGTTTGAGATCCTCGTTGATGAGGGCCGGATCCGGGTTGGCGGGTTGACCCGGGTTTGGTGTTGCCATAGGAGGAGTGGGTTTGGAGCATTGTTGTGGGATGAATGGAAGGAGAGGAAGGAAGGTTTTCAGTCTGTTGGGTTTTGTTCTGATTGGGAAATTAAGCTTGGTGGTTGAGTTGGTTTGAAGAAGGGATCTTGTGGTTGGAGGAGAAGAGGAAGAAGAATGGTGGGGATGGGAGTAATGGAGATGGAGGCTGGAAATTCTGGACACCATAGCTTCTGTTAAGAAAGATCCCTTTTTCTACCTTTTTTCTCTTTTGTGGTGGTGGTGATTACTGAAGAGATAAGGCCGGAAAAGAAGAACTGTGTGTGTGTGGCTGGTGATTTGTCGGCTGTCTATTTGTGATTTTGATTACAGAGATGGAGCCAGGCAAGTGGGAGAGAGACTGAGGAGTAAGGAGATATCAATGGAGATTGGGCTAGGCCTGGCCCAGTCTGGTTGAATCTTTCTAGATTTATTTGTTTATTCAGGAAATAATAATAATGCCTTTGTTTGCTTAGTAGAATCAACTAGGAAGTGATGCCATTGAGAGACAAATCGAGATTCACGTTAATGATGGAATCACAGACAATTTCTTATTCACGTCTGAATCTATCTATTGAATTAAGGTATCACATTATCATAATGAGAAGGTTAGCCATGGGAAATATCTTTTTGATTCTTTGGGCCTTGGAATTGATCTAATGGGATGACTAAACTATGGGCCTATGGAGTGGAACTAGTCCATCTACCCCACCACAGCGAGGCCCATAATTAAAATTATTCGGGCCTTTGGGCTCTATGACAGCACATGGTTTTATTTACGTAATACACGTTTTTGTTCAATTTTTCAATTATAATGACTAGTGGCAAAAACTAGAAAGGGTATTACGGTCCGCAACGCTCATGCATACTGGATACTATAAAAAAGGTGAAACTATATCCGTATGACCGTATCATTATCAGGGGAGTGTAATCTTCTATCGAAACGAGCATGGCTCATCAAGCAATGCAATGAGATCATGTTCCCTAAAAAGCCCTTTTCCGATTAGTAGGAGTGCGAAAAACTCAACAACTAAAATTTATGCTGAATAATAATTAATGCAATCAGTTTAAAAAAAAGTTAAACACTAAAAGGTCCGAATTCAATGGTCTCTACTCTCCAGCGAACACAATAACCATTAAAAATTAGAACTAGTAAGATCTCGGTGCACTGAAGAACTGTCCCTTCTTTAAATGTCTCAATGAATCTTCACCCCATAACATCAAACTCTTACTAGTCATCTCTCAATGTTCCAACTCAGGAATCTCAACATAAACCGCAACTTAATTCTTGAGGTCACTGCTGAAGTCATCATTCTCATTAGGAGATTAATATCATCATTACTCAGTAGCTAACAGCTAATCCAGCCGGCCAGGTTATATGTTGAGTTGTTGACCACAATTCTAGATGATTATATTTGGGGATTAGGATAAACACATTCGATTCTCTTTCTCCCGCCACCTGTCTCAATCCCCAACCATAAACCAAACAGAACAAACATCCAGAAACCAGCCGTTTTGGAATCCAACAAACACTGAGCCAACGACAAAGGAAAACGACACGTTGCATGCTCTCTCTAAGTCTCTTCTTCCTTCACGTCAGTCGATACCTACCGGCCAACTACCACATAAATTGCCACCGCTAGCTGACCTAAAGTTTCCCGGCGACGATGGCTGGAAAAATATCTCTAACCACTCTCTCAAATCTTCATTAAATTCGCATTACCATTAGTCAAATGACTGATTTTTACTTAATCTTGTACCTTAATGACATTAATTAGTGACGACCTGTCCCCTTCCACTTGTCCCCCTCTGCAAAACCATCCGTTGACTTTCACCCTACAGCCCACCGGAAATTAGCAAAGGTTGATTGAACGTATTTTGTAGTTGACGCACAAAAATATACATTTAGAGTGTAAATAGAGAGGGTAAGTGGACAATGGACGATCCGTTGTAATTTGGATAAAATATCACTATTGAAATTATTGATGACAATCTCGACATGATTATTGATTTGCTTTCTATGATCTGCTCGATCTATATATAAACATATAGCAGTCAATCGATATACAATATACGGTAAAGTATACGACTTTTTCTAATTCATTTTGTTATCAATCTGTTTGAACCTAACTGAGTGTAGGAGTGAGGTTCGAGTGAGAGTTTGGGTCAAGAAGAAACGCGAACGTCGAGTTTGATCAAGAAGACAAGAATCAGAGAGTTGAGTGAGAACCGGAGTCCGAACTTTTAGAAAGAGAAATAATTGTTCTAGAGAGAGAATGGTGAAAAAATGCGATCCCCTCACCCACCGGAGTAAATGCCATATTTATAGGCTACATGGTGGTGGGTGAGTGGGTGGACTTCGAGACGGTACAACGACGTGACTACTGATGTGTCAGGGATTTAGGCCATCCCCCAACCTAGGACTTGTCAGAGGGTTGTCTATGATTTGTACCTAAAAGTCTTGACGTGACCTTCCCTCGGGAGACACAATGACGCCCTCTCCGGCTCTTGAGTCTGGTTGCCGCCTTGTCTTCCCACTTGCGCGCATAGCCTTGCTCTTGCCGCGCGTGAGGTCTCGGCGCTGTCGGACGTGTCGCGCCCTCGCCGTGTCTGTTGCGGCACGCGGTTTGACATGCTCTTTTGGCGCGGGGGTGATCCGAGTCACATGCCCAACAATTGCCCCCCACAGGGGGTGTTTCTCGAACGCCTCCTGTTGTGATTTCCGCTCTGCTGACTCGGATCCACGTGTTTTGCGAGGACTTGGCCGGCTAGGTTTCGTGCGCTCTGAAGCGTTGTGATCGCGCTACTATATTGGGGCTCTCCTGTGCGTTGCGGGGTACGGCGCGGTTGCTTTGCGTGCGCGATCTATACGGGGAGCTTTGTGTGCGCGGTTGCTTTGCGTGCGCGATCTTCACGGGGAATCTTGCGGTCGCTTTGTGTGCGCGATTTCCGCGAGGTTTTCTTCGAGCGTTTTTTTGGGGGTGGGGTTTTTCCCTTTTGCGGGTGTGTCATGCCCCCCAGGCGTTGCGCGTCACTAGTGACGTCGACGACTAGTGCCTATGCTCGTCATGATTGTTCGGGATTGGAGTCTGCCACGTGTCGGTGTGCGATTGGTTAGCTCTGGCGGCCTTTTGAATTTCGAAATCCTCTGACGGTTGCGATTTTCGATGACCTTTAACCCCTTCGACTTCCCATCATCACCTATAAATATTCGGCTGCTCCTGAAATTTTCTTCCATCCTTCCTTCTTCTTACTTTGCTCTCTCGCTTTTCCATCTCTCTGTTTCTAGGATTCCTCTTCTTCTTCTACAACCTCAAGTCTGCCGTTTGCCACTGCTACTCAAGGTATTGCCATGGATAGCACCAACATCAATGAGACCGAGGTCGTGCAGGGCGAAGAAGGTAATCCTCTTTCTTTCTCACCTACTTCTACCCGACTTGAGTCGGACCCGGCCGATTCCGGCAACGGGGACGACGGGGACGGCGGTGGTGTTAGCAACGACGACGATGCTAGTGACGACGAGGGTGCTTCGGCGTCGCCGTCGGGCAACGTCGATTCCGGACCGGGGTTTTCAGGAGTCTTCCAACGCCGATATGGTTCCGTCGGGTAGTGGGCCGGCGGCCTCTAGTGGGGTCCTGATAATCCGGCGTACTCATGACGGAAGATCTGGCGGGGCGACCTCCGAGGTGCGCGATGGGTCAGAGACGCAGTCGGAGCCCCTTTACCATGTCCGCGTGACAGAAGCAGTGAGCCGGCTAGGGTTCCAAGGCGTGGGCGCGGTTTACACTGTTCTGGATTGGGCCGAGATGTGGGGCGATCAGCCAGCCCCACATGATAATCTTCTCCGCGGGCCCGACCACGCATCAATTTACGGGCGCGAGGATGTGGAGGAGATTGTGCGTGGGTTGGGATTGCCCCCCAGCTGGCAGTACGCCGTACCGTCTGTGCGCAGCATGGTTGGGAACTGCCCCCCGGGCTGGTTCGGCGTTTACACAGAGTATTGGGTGATGGGATTCAAATTTCCCATCGACCCACTGCTGTGCGCCTTATATGAGAAGCTCAATTGCTCAATCGCGCGGCTCTCTCCCTCTGTTATTATGCACGCTAGTTGCCTCCGAGCGGCGTGCAAGCGGCTCAAGATCACGCCCACTTATGGGTTGTTCCGGAAATTTTACAAGATCAAGGAGCCCACCAAGACGAGTGATTGTCTTTCCATCAAGCGGCGTGATAACAGGCCTGATGGCTTTGTGTACGGCTCGCCCAGGCTTATGAAGACCTGGTTCGAGCGCTTCTTTTATGTGAAGCCCACGCCCGGGGAGTGGGCGAGCGCGTATGTTGCGGAGCCAACCACTTGGATGAAGGGTGGCACGCATGCGTACGAGTCGGAGCTGGGCAAGTACCCCGGGCTCGATCAGGAGTATGAGGCGTGCCTGCTTCAGAAGTTTGACCTACACTCGGCTGGGGTCCGCGAGGCCTGCCTGGCCGAATTGTTTGCCGATGGTTAGTTGTGTTCCTTTCGTTTTGTATTCTTTCTTATTAACCGCCCTCTTAACATTTATTGGCGCAGGTGTTGACTTTTCTAGCTTGGCGAGCATGATGTCTGTTGATGAAGTCATCAAGGCTCCTCGCGGTGGGAGGAAGAAGTCGAGGGAAGGTAAGCAGGCTGCCTCGGAGAGGGGCGGGAAGAGGAAGACGGCGGAGCAGCCGTCCATTGCTGAGAAGGCGCCGAAGACGGTGCGCATTATGGAGCCGGCTGTGCAAACAGCACCGGCGACGACGCGCGTGCCTTTGGCGATTGCGGAGCATACTCCGCGCGCAGCCAGCACCGCTCGTCCCGACAGAGGTGATGCCGGTAGAGGTGGTGCCAGTAGCTCGTCTGGAGCTGGAGTCCAGCAACAGCTGCCGCAGATGGCCGGGGGGGCCATCGACTACTTCCGTGACGTGCGGTTGCATACGGGCGCCGCGTGTAACGTTGCGTCGGCGAATGTTGCGCTGCGGGCCGTGGGTCCCCTTTTGGGCATCCCATCCCGCATGGAAAAGTCTGATCCGCTCATGGACCTTGCTCAGATCCATTTCGCGGTAAGACTTTCTGCGGAGTGTGAACTATCATCAATTTTTTTTTTTTATCAGAAATTTTGCTAAGTGTTATCGCGCTGTATTCGCAGGGCTTGCGGCGACTTTCCGCGCTCAACAGGAGCGGGGACGCGAGCGCGCGAAGTTGAGATCCGAAGAGTCTCGGATTGAGCAGCTGGAGGGGAGACTTGCTGGCGCTGAAGGACGCGCAGAGTTGGCCACCACAAAAGCCAATGACGCGCTAGTGGAGCTCGGCGTCCTGCAGAGCAAGCTGGCGGATCAGATGGACACCGCAAGGGAGCGCGTCCGGGCTGAGTTGCGGGCGGAGTTTGAGGTGGAGCGGAAGCGTCTGCTGGACGAGAAGGAGAAAGAGAAGAAG